TACGGCAGTGCTGGAAAATAATGGTGGCCACACAAAATATTGATACTTTGGTTCCAATTTAGACATTTTAACTTAGGGGTATACTAACTTTTGTTGCCAACGGTTTAGACATTAATGGCTGTGTGTTGAGTTATTTTGAGGGGACAGCAAATTTACACTGTTATACAGGCTGTACACTTACTACTTTACATTGTAGCAGAGTGTCATTTCTTCAGTGTTGTCACTGTTGTCATATAATAAAATATTTACAAAATTGTGAGGTGTGTACTCACTGTGAGATACTGTAACTGTTTAGTAGATATACCCCAATGAAAACATGCATGCATTTACTTATGATTTTTGTTTTAATTTATGGATATATCTACAAACAGCTTGCAAAAACTGCAGATCTTTTGTCTGAAACTTTTTTGAAGCCCTCCCCTTCTAACCCCACCCATACTTTCTCTGGCTGTCCAATCACAGACCTCCCAACGCAGTTCAATGAGACGTGTTTGCAAGGCAGGTGCTCTGGGCTATTGCGGCCTCTTGAGTTTATTTCCACTGAGCTGAACAAACTATGAAGAAACAGAAACGGTTGTTTGACTGACATTCTAATCACATATAAAGCAATTCTGCAAGCTGAAGTGCATTAGGAGCAAAGCATCATGAGAGTTGCAGTTCTGCCACAGCTGGGGGTCTACCCCAGCCTGCCCCTGTTATACAGGGGGGTAGGCCTGCAAGTCTCGCCTGCAGTGACCTAGCATTCCATTCTTGCGGGAGAATCCCCTGTGGATGGACAGGGTGTGCCGGCTCTCAGGAGCCATATCGAAGTGAGGTTGTGCAGGCAAAGGAAATGAGTCAGTCATCAAAGAGGAGTTTATCCTCAGGGACAGCCTGTAATCAGTATTATCCTTTATAATAATACCATTTCAGAGAGACTGCGGAACCAGAGTACTGCGTAGTCATGTAAACTGCTTCCTGTATTTGCCAAACAAAACTATGTTTGGGCTATTCAGCCTGGATGTTGTGATAAGTGAGGACAAACAGCAATATCTTGTGATAACCAAAGGTTGCAATAGCTGCACTAATTCAGTGTAGCCTCAAACTCACATAATCGTAGTTAAACAATGCAGTGAGATGTTCATAACTTGTCTGCGGGATATTCATTTTTATCCCCAAAATACCTGCTACATAATTTTATACCGCCTATTCACTAAACATCCAGCCATGGTGAATTCGAAAAAAGATTGCAAAATTCAGCCTAACATAGCCAAGCTGTCACTGGAGAAATGTTTTAAAATCGTCTATTTTGACCTAAATTGTAGAATTTGGTTTTCAGTTAACAATAATTGTAGTTTAGTGAACAAGCCCCTTAGTAGATACATTTTGAGTTTGTCACAAAGCAGGGAATTGTTGGGTATTCGCTAGAGAATTTCAAAGCTTAGAAAAATTCAGAAATTCGAGTGCATTTCCTGCTAGATTAATGTGGCTGAATTTTTTACTTTTTCTGTGAATTTTAAGGACTGTGAATAACCGTGACTGTGAACTGCAGATAATTAAAACTCAACATGTTTTCTCAGTAACTCATGATGGGTCAAATGTGTATATTCAAACTGTCCTGGAGTGACAAGAGAAATCAGGGGAATCCTTTTACAGACTGTTCTGCTCTCGATCTCAGCAACTACAGTGCATGTCCCCTCAAAAAACAATCAGGTAAAATCATGGTGATGTACATACAATAAAATGAGGATATAAACTGTGTATTTACAGGTAAAATCCAGACAGTCGGTTCGTGTGGACATGGATTAAAAGGCATTTGTTTTTCGGACTAACCGTCCAAAATAAAGTTTTGCACAAGTTTAGACCTAGTACCTAATCATGCAGGCATTGGCAACATTCAGCACTCCAGATGTTTTGAACTACACCTCCCATGATGCTTTGTCAGCATTATGGGTACAGCATTATGGGAGATGTAGTCCACAACATCTGGAGTGCCGAAGGTCCCCTATCCGTGACCTAGCTTGTATAATCTTGCAACTAGCTTGAATAATCTTGTCTGTTAGCACTGCGCTAATAGGTGACAGAAGATAGACTGTAGCCGCCAATGTGTTGCTAAGTGACCGGAATCCTCAGGCGGACTGGAGTATAACTGACCTGCACTCAATCTTCATTTTTCCATCGAATCCACTCTTTTTTTTTTGCATAGCTATCTATATCCAGTATCTTAACACCATAATCAAATAGACCACTTCAAACTTGCAGTTCGCTGGTCAATCCCACACAATTCAAGGTTCTACTGAACAAAACCCTACATTTCCCAAGTCACAACTTTCGACCAATGAAAATTAACACCTGCTTTGTTTTTGACGCAATACTTGTTTACTGTGAAATTATCTGTAAGAAAGCGCCACCTAGTGGAAGAAACCTTTACCTCAATTTAATTCAAATGTATTTGAATGTGATTCAAATACCTTGTATCTAAAACGGATTGTAAAAGCTGTTTTTTTATTTATGGAAACTACAGGCAAATTTCATGCAGCTAAACTCTAAAGTCTATCAGTACTCCATGGCGTTAGACAGGTCTCCTGCTGTATGAAATACACCTGTGTAGGTGCGCTCACAAAACAAGTGTGCAGTACTTTCCAACAGGGTGTGTATCCAAGTATTTGGGTGTTTTATACATTAAAGATGAAATTTTATTGAATACTAATTCCTAAACGACATCCATGCTTGCTGCTGAAATCAGAACTGGTTCAAGGATTTTTGGCTACACTACAGAAATGCATTTTGCAGTCTCCAAATTCCTCCCCCCCCCAAAAAAAATGTCTTCACCTGTATGTCTCTTAACTACCCCCTCCCCCATTTGACTTCCTTACCCCCTTTTGTGTTTCTTATCCCTTCTTTTGAATGTCTTACTCTCTCGTGTGTATATTATCCCCCCTTTTGAGTGTCTTACAATCCCCCCTTTGTGTGAACCTATTTTAGGCCGATATCACTTTGTGACTCTTTTCTATCCTAGTGCCCCTCTATTCTAAGAGCTCCATATTGTTGGTGTGTTTAACAAAGCTCCCCAGCAATAATACTCCCAGTAATGTATCTTTAAAATGTGTTTAGAAATCAGTCTGTGTAAATAAGATACATTGTTCTTGTTATGGATTGCATTTTACTTGTATAAATTGTTGTTATTAGTAAATCACCTAATATAGCTCAAAACAGCCCCGCCTATGGCCACATCCCCACTAACACCCCTAAAATTAAAATGTTGGGCAGTATGCTTCCCCCCAGTGCCGTTATGTGTGTTCTTACATCCTCCAGCCCCTTTGTGTGTTTCTTTCTCCCCCCATACCCTTTGTGTGTCTCTTATCCCCCTCCTTTTGCATGCCTGCTTACCTCCTGTTGTTTCGTGATATTTGCAGACTGTGGTAGGGGTCGTCTTTATCCTCACCGTGGTATGACGAAGCTGTTCGGTGCTCCCACAGAGAAGCTTCATGTCAAATCGGGTAGAGGATAAATAAGATCCTCTGTGGAAGTCCAAGAGGTCATGCCACAAAGAGTGACTGGCAGTTTGGGAAGCGCTATGCGCCCCTTTCCTAAAGGTAACCAGGATTGTGCCCCACAGGCTGGTGCGCCTTAAGAAGGCAATCTGTGCTGCCTTGAGTAACACTGGAAAATAGGCAAATGTAGCTATATCCAAAGTATACAGGTTTTACCTTATTTAATAAGGTGAGGAAAATAATTTGATAATAGCATTGTCTTAAGTGTAGTCCCAGCAGTGGCAGAACTACCGCTGGTCAAGCCTGTGCAGCCTGTGCAGCTTCACTGGGGCCCATTAGCTCAGGGAGCCAATCGGGTGGCCATGCAGTTAGGGCCACCCAATGGGCTTCTTTGATTGGGGGCTTGGTCAGGCGGTGCTTGGAGGAAGTGAGTACACGTCACTTCCTCCCAGCTTATCAACGAGCCGCACAGGAGATCTTAGCCAGATGCCAGTGGACTCCAGGTAAGCCACCCTCCTGCACCAAAAAGTTATGGAAGTAGAGGGTGGCTAAAATATATAATGTGTGTGTTATCTATGTGCATGATATATAGGTGTGTGTGTGTGTGTGTATATATATACAGTATTTTTCCATGTATAAGACTGTTTTTTTTCTAAAAACGTTTTGTCTAAAATTGGGAGTCGTCTTACCCACAAAATGTCACTGCAGGGGTTGAAAAAACAAACACTTTTGCACAGGGCCCAAGTTAAGATGGTGCCTGCCGTTTTTCAATGTGCCACGGCCCACACACCCACGGCCCACTGATCCAGTTCTGAATGCTGTGGCAAGAAGGAAGAGGTCCCTATATGCGTAGGAGCTGCAGCAGACGTTAGCACTTACCACCAACGGAGCTCCAGAGACATGCCACACCATAAAAGGAGCAGCCATATTAAGGTGTGCTCTACCTCAGGTAGGTGTTCCTTTCTGATTTATATTTATTGAAGAGTGAATGGGGATCTGGGAGCAGGGGGACTACTACTGTGATATCCCAGCATACCCTCACACCACCTGCTGTACTGTGGGAGCTGTAGTCTCCCAGCATGCCCTCACAACACCTGCTGTTTTGTGGGAGCTGTAGTCTCCCCGCATGCCCTCACACCACCTGCTGTATTGTGGGATCTGTAGTCTCCCAGCATGCCCTCACACCACCTGCTGTCAGGGCCGGACTGGGGATACGAAGCAGCCCTGGAAAAAAATCTATGCCAGCCCCATAAGCCATTGTGTTATATAGTGTGTGTTTATATATATATATATATATATATATATATATATACACACACACACACACACACATATATATATATATATATAATTGGTATATTTATTTTTCTAATTTAATATATTAGTCCTTTCAGGGTGATTCAATTATACAGTAAAGCATACTTACATAAAGACACAGACAATCTTATTGATGCACACAAATAGGCTCATTGACAGACAATCTCAATGACACACACAGACAAGGTTACTGGTACACACACAAATTTAGTACAGACAAACTCTGATACACACACACAAGCTTACTACAGACAACCTAACTGTCACATACACGCTAACTACAAACAAGCTCACTGACACACACATGCTCACTACAGACAAGTTTACTGACACACATATGGTCACTACAGACAAGCTCACGATCACACACATGCTTACTACAGACAAGCTCACTGCACACACATGCTCACCACAGACAGGCTTAGACACACCCATGCTCCCTACAGACAAGCTCACTAACACACACACACAATCCCTACAGTCAAGCTCACTGACACACATACAAGCTCACTCACTAGCAGGCACACACACAAACTCACTAGCAGGCACACACACAGAAGCTCCCTCACCAGCAGATGCACACACACACAGAAGCTCACTCAGTAGCAGATGTGTGCACACACACACACACAGAAGCTCACTCACTAGCAGATGCACACACACAAAGGCAGACATCCACACACACAGAGGCAGACATCCGCACACACAGAGACAGGCAGACAGACAGCCACACACACACACACACACACACACAGGCAGACAGTCACACACTCACACACACACACACACAGGCAGACAGTCACACACACACAGTCACACACACAGGCAGACAGACACACACACACACACAGGCAGACAGTCACACACACACACAGGCAGACAGTCACACACACACACATTGACTTGCTTCTTACCTCCACATCCCTTGGAGCTCCTGAAGACTGGTTGTTGGGGAAGCAGGGACTCCTTCCTGCTTCCCAAGCTGCAGTTACCAGGGCCCCCGCCGCACCCTAAGCCTCGCCCCTGCCGCAATATTTTTTATTGTGGGAGCTGTAGTCTCCCAGCATGCCCTCACACCACCTGCTGTATTGTGGGAGCTGTAGTCTCCCAGCATGCCCTCATACCACTGTATGTGTCAGTGTGTATCTGTGTGTATGTGCATACATCCCAACAATCAAACTTAAGCTCTACATACAAATACAAACACTAAACACAAGTACACCACTGCTTTCAAATAGACAACATTACATGCAAACATACAACTGCATTCACATGACAACACTACACTCAAATACATATAAACATTCAAACACACAAAACATGCTTATATGCAAACACAAACAGTGCTCATAAATACCGCTCTGCAAGGATGAACACACAGTAGCTCCAGGGCCAGAATCATATCGACCAAAAACACTAAAACACTCCCAAGCGTCATGTATCTGATGGAGATGGTGCTGGAGAGAAAGAAAACAGCAGCTATAAGAAAACACATACCCTAGGCTAATCTCTCTCTAATTTATGTTTTCATCTTTCAAGTAAATCCATAACCCCTAACAGCAGTGTCCAGTCAAGCAGGAAGTCAATGGGCATGGTAAAAGTGACACAAATCACGTAACCTGCCAAAAGGAGCGAACATGCCAAAAAAGAGGACGTCTGCCCAAAGAATTAGAAGGCCAGCCTGGCATGAATGCATGTCAGGCTGCCTGCCAATCATTCAGCTGGCCAACTAAGGGCATACTATGCAGACAGCACTCTGAGCTTGGCATAAATGCATCTAATGATGCGCTCACTCAAAGCTTTCGAAGGACTGTTCCCTAGCACTCGCTGGTCCACTTGTCTCCTTACCTTCTTATTAGCAGGCAGAAGCTCCTGGTATATAGCCTGGGACAGAGAAAAGTTGTATGTAGTGAGTGTAGAAGAAAGGGAACATGCCACAGTGTTAGAGAGACCAAAGTCAGCATTACCTTAAAGGATCACAAGAGGGTCAGGAACACAAACATGAATTCATGACCCTATAGTGTTAACACCACCATCTAGCCCCCCTGGGCCCCTCATGCCTTCATAAATATAGCAAAATCCTACTATATTCAAGCCTGAAGCTGTAACTCTGCTGTAACTCTGTTAGACTCATAAAAACAAGCAGTCTGCTGACATCATTAGAAGTGGTGGCCTGATCCAATCACAGTGCTTCCCCATAGGATTGGCTGAGACTGACAAAGAGGCAGATCAGGGTCAGAGCCAGCATGATTCAAACACAGCCCTGGCCAATCAGCATCTCGTTATAGAGATGAATTGAATTAATGAATCTCGATGAGGAAAGTTCAGTGTCTGCATGCAGAAGGAGGAGACACTGAATGTTTGGATGCATTTTAGGCAGCCATGACCCAGGAAGGAGCTCTAACAGTCATCTAAGGAGTGGCCAGTGAAGTTATCACTAGGCTGTAATGTAAAGACTGCATTTTCTCTGAAAAGACAATGTTTACAGCAAAAAGCCTGACGGTAATGATTCTACTCACCAGAACAAATTCAATAAGCTGTAGTTGTTCTGGTGACTATAGTGTCCCTTTAACTATATTCATTGTCAGCCAGTCCACACAAGTTTTGTTCTCATACATCCCTCTTAAGTTTCCATACTTAAAGGACCACTCTAGGCACCCAGACCACTTCAGCTTAATGAAGTGGTCTGGGTGCCAGGTCCAGCCAGGATTAACCCATTCTTTTAAAAACACAGCAGTTTCAGAGAAACTGCTATGTTTATGAATGGGTTAAGCCTTCCCCCAAATCCTCTAGTGGCTGTCTCATTGACAGCCGCTAGAGGCGCTTGCGTGCTTCTCACTGTGATTTTCACAGTGAGAGCACACCAGCGTCCATAGGAAAGCATTGTGAATGCATTCCTATGCGATCGGCTGAATGCGCGCGCAGCTCTTGCCGCGCGTGCGCGTTCAGCCGACGGGGAGGAACGGAGGAGGATCGAAGGAGGAGAGCTCCCTGCCCAGCGCTAGAAAAAGATACGTTTTTACCCCTTTCCCCCTTCCAGAGCCGGGCGGGAGGGGGTCCCTGAGGGTGGGGGCACCCTCAGGGCACTATAGTGCCAGGAAAACGAGTATGTTTTCCTGGCACTATAGTGGTCCTTTAAGTAAGAGTATGTGAAAAGTAGTTAGGGTTGCCACCTTTCTTGGAAAAACATACCGGCCTTACTAATTTGCATAATTAAATATGTATGGGTGACATCACATGATGTAAATCACAAGGAGCGACATAAGAGAAAATTCTGTAAAATCACCAAAAAACTACTTAGTTTGATTCTGCTGTATAGATGGATTCCTCCCAGTGCCCCCATGTCTCCCAGTGCCCTCATGACTCAGTGCCCCTATGTGTCGATTACTCCAAGTCTCAGTGTTCCTATGTATCAGTGTCTCAGTGCCCCATGTCTCCCAGTGTCCCCTAGTGTCGTGTCCCCAGGTCTCCCAGTGATCCTATGTATCACAGTGTCTCAATGTCCCATGTCTCCCTGTGTCCCCATGTATCCCAGGGTCCCCATGCCACTAGGACACTAGGAAGACGGGGAGACCTGGGGAGACCTAGGGACACGGAGACACCAGTGACACTGGGAGACTAGGGGACTCTGGCTGGGACACATGGGGACAATGAGAAAATAGGGGACACGGACACTAGAGACACTGGCTAGGGGACATGGGGACATTGAGACATGAGGGCACTGGGAGACATGGGGACACTGAGACACCAGGGCCACAGACACTAGGAACACTAGCTTGGAGACATGGGGACATTGAGACACTTGAGGCACTGAGAGACATAGAGGCACTAGGAGACATGGGGACAGTGAGACACTGGCAGACTGGGGGCACTAGGAGACTAGGGGTCACTGGGAGACTAGGGGTCACTGAGACACCAGGGACACTGGCTGGGAGACATGGGGCCACTGTGTCCCCATGTGTCTGTGTCATAATGTCTCCCAATGTTCCTTAGTGTCTCAGTGTCTGCCATAATGTCTCCCAATGCCCCTTAGTGTCTCAGTGTCTGCCATAATGTCTCCCAGTGTCCCTTAGTGTCTCAGTGTCTGCCATAATGTCTCCCAGTGTCCCCTTAGTGTCTCAGTGTATGTCTCCTTGCAGCCTTTCCCCCATCCCTTACTTCCCTGAGCTGTAGGCTGTCTCTGCAGGGTGGGAGTTGCTGTCTGGACTGTCTGTAGCTGCACCCCTGCAGATCAGTGAGTATAGATAGGCAGGGAGGGATATGCTGGAACTTCCTATCCCTGCCTGTCTCCACACACAGTGACCCCTACTGGCCAGTGCTGGTATTGCAGAGTAATCTCTTGTTTATACTGAGAAAAATACCAGCATTTGTATTGCCAGTATCACTGTAATATTGGCACCAGCCAGGCAGCCTCAAATACTGGCTGTGCCAATAAAATAAAAGCCAGGTGGAATCCCTAAGAGTAGTGTGTGAAAAAAAAATGTAAAAAAAAAAAAATATATATATATATATTTTTTTAAAATCAATGGGCCTATTCCATGGGCCTGGAGCTACAGCTCCATCAGCCCCTATGTTAATCCGGCCCTGAATAGGTCCCCTGCTGGAAAAGCATTGAGGGTGTTGTACGATAGATGAGAATTTACCTTTTGACAATACTAGAATTTTATTTATTTATTTCAAATCTTGTCCCAGGGCCCTCCAAACATAAGTTCCTCCACGGAACCCCAGTGTCATAAAATATAATAAAGGGTTGCATTTTTATAAAAATGCAAATATCCTTTTATGTGTGAAGTGTGTCCTTTATTTTATTTTTTTACATTTTACAAAATGTTTGCTGAAGTGCTTTGTTTGTGAAAAGCCTGATTTCAATAGAAATTGCCACTTTTATAAATTCATCTTGTTACAACCCTCTAGCTGGGAAGTAAACAACTGGTCCTGTTACTTCCTGGTTTGGTTAGCTCAGTGGAACTAAACTCAAGAGGCAGCAATTGCCCAGAGCACCTGCCTTGTAAAGACTTCTCATTGAGCTGCATCGGGAATACTGTGATTGGACAGCCACAGAAAGTGGGTGGGGTTAGAAAAGGGGAGGGCTATAAGATGCACCACACTCAGTGCCTGAATAAATATTAACACCCTACTACCATAATTCACCTCTGATTCGAGACGTCTAGTACCACTCGGTTAATGCTTGCTACGATATGTCTATAACCCTCAAGTTATTATTTTTGCTGCAAATGGTTTTATCTTTTTGTATGTACTGCTCACTGCTTTCTTTGAAAATCCTTTACTCGAATAAAGATTGTCCAAAAAAAGGAAGGGAAGGGCAGGCAAAGGATGCAGACAAGAGAACTGCATCTTTTGCAAGTTGTTTTTAGATATATCCCCAATGATAAAATGCATAATTAAATACTTG